CCAAAGAGAGAGAGAGAGAGAGAGAGAGAGAGAGAGAGAGAGACAGGCAGCTTAAGAGGAAGCCTTTGAGAGGTAACTGAAACTGATTCTAAATACTCCACCAGCTATCAAAATACCCGAAAGCAAATCCTGAATCCATCACTCCAGCCTTGGAAGACAAAAGAAAACTGAGGAGGAACCCAATAGAGGGATGCCTTTGGAAACCCTTGTCAAGAAATTCCAATGGACTCTCATATGAACATTTGAAAATTGCTCTGTTCTGACTTTTTTCTAGTTCCCTGTCTAGAACTTGTAATGCAAATTACTCTTGTCTTTACTTCTCCTTCACATCTCCTATTCACCAGTCAAGGATCTTTTCCCCCTAGAGATAAGAGTTATACAGTTTGGGAGTCTTTTAGATAGACCTGCTGATGGGTTACTCCAATTGCCCCACCCTCGTCCCTCTTCAGCTTGGAAGAAGCCAGAACAGTCAGTGTCCCGATTCCCTATCAGCAATTTGGGTAACTCCTTCAGAGGATGGTGTGATAAGAATAGGAGGTAGGAATTGACTAGGCAGTTAGGCTAAAGAGACCCCAAAGAAAAGTAGCCAGTTTCTTGGCTAAAAGTCAAAATGTCCTTGAGCCTCTTAGCAACCTACTCCGTTCCAGAGGCCCAAAATGTCAAAAGTATTTAGGGAGTTGTATCCAATCCTTAAAAGATTTCAGGAATACCTCTTCAGAAGGGGGAATGTTAGAGTAACCAAAAGTCCCATAAAAATAAATAAATAAATCAAAGAAGAAGAAAGAGTACATTAAGTTATCAGAAAAAAAGTGATGGGGTGATATGGGAGGAGTCGGAGGGGAGGGAGTGGGCATGGATTTGATCAAAACACCTTATATGCATGTATGAAATTCTCAATAAATTATTAAAAAAATAAATAAGTGAAGAGAGAGAGTGAGACTGGGGTTGTAGCTCACTTTGTAAAGTGCTTGTCTAGCATGCATGAATCCCCATGTTCAATTCCCCACAGACCAGACAAACTGAGTGTGGTGCAACACACTTTTAATCTCAGCACTCAGAACATGGAGGAAGGAGGATCAAAGTCATCCTCAGCTACCTAGTGAGTTTGAGGTCAGCCTGGTTTACACAAGACCCTGGAAGGGAGAGAAGAGATGCTGGGCCGAAGGATTCCCAAATGAATCAATGGCTTTCTGAAATTTATTAAGTGCACACGTCATACTGGTAAAGCAACAGGTCCACGGGAGAAAAAGACAACATACCTTCCTCTTGATTGTGTTCTTCAGCTTAATACAAAGCAACAAACTATTATGAAGCTGTTCCTGCTATTCAGCAGCCTGTGTTCCTGCTGCCTGTATAAGCAATGTGGTCTTGTCAGTCAGTCAGTGTTTTCCTGAGCTAGCCTACTACCTTTTTACCACTCCAAGCTGCAGGTGCTAGAGAGCTCAGGGAGGACAGGCTTTTTTGTCTACCATTGTGCATCTTGTCAGTGCCCTGTGAAAATAATAAATAAAAAAAGAAAAAAAAAGTATTTATTATTTTTATTTTATGTGTATGAGTGTTAATACCTGCATGTAACTAAGTGCACCCGTGTCGTGCAGTGCCTGAGGAGGACAGAAGAGTCTGTCAGATCCCCTGGAACTGGAGTTACAGACAGTTGTTAGCTGCCATGTGGGTGTTGGGATTCGAACCCAGGTCTTCTGCAAGAACAGCCAGTGTTCTTAACTGCTGAGCCATCTCTCCAGCCCCTGTTTTGGTGTTTTTGAAACAGGGCCGCCCTGTAGCCCCAGCTGGCCTGGAACTCCCTATATAGACCAGGCTGGCCTCTATCTCACAGAGATCCTCCTGCCTCTGCCTCCCAAGTGCTGGGATTAAAGGTGTGCATGATGCCAGGCTCATTTATTTATATACATGTGTGTGTATGTATATGAGAGAGAGAGGGAGGGGAGAGAGAGAGAGAGAGAGAGAGAGAGAGAGAGAGAGAGCGATGGAGACCAGGCTGGCCTTGAACTCACAGAGTTCCACCTGCCTCTGCCTCCCAAGTGCTGGGATTAAAGGCGTGCGCCACCACACCTGGCTGTGAGTGTTTTGTCTGAATGTATGTAAGTGGACCTGTGTGTACAGTGTCTTAGAGGCTAGAGGAGCATGTTGGATCCCCTGGAATTATATTTATGGACAGTTGTTGACTGCCACGTAGGTGCAGGGAACTGAATCCAGGTCTTCTGCAAGAGCAGCCAGTGCTCTTAACACAGAGCCATCTTTCCAGACAGAGTCTCACGAATCTCTGGCTAACCTCAGACTTTCTCTGTAGCTGGTAATAGCCTTGATCTTTAGATCCTCTTGCCTCTACCTCCTAAGTGCTAGGATTATAGGTGTGCACCATTGCACCTGATTTATGTGGTGCTGGGAATCAAGCCAGAGCTTTGTACATGCTAGGCAGGTACTCTTCCAACTGTGTCCCATCCCTAGTCCTTAGCAGTAAGTACATATTTCTTGAATGAGTAATGTCAAATGACTCAGTGTGTGTTATAGGATCATGAAAAGAAGGTGTCTGGCTGTTATCATGCTATAAGCCATGTTCCTCTAAAGCAAGAAAAAAAATAAGGTATAGAAGGTAACATAGGAGGCTGCAGAGACGTTGAAGGGTTAGCCTGTGGGTGTTAACGTCTGAGGCAACATTAGAAACAATGAGGAAGTGAATTCTTCCTTAAGCTGTCCCTCATTTATTTGAAGTGAAATACTTTCCTTTTGAAAAAATGTGAGGATGTTTGTGCCAGAACAACTGTGTTAAACTTCTGTTCCTTTCATGACAGGAGGCTGAACAGCACCCAAGGGGAAATTCGTGTTGGTCCTAGCCATCAGGTAAAGTACATTTCAGTAACTTAGTATCTCTTACTTTTCTGCTGTACCTTTATTCTGTTGAGTAGCATCTTAGAACTGTTACTGCTATGGAGATGTTTCTTTAAATGCAGAGTTAAGGGTTTTTGAAGGGGGGCTGTTGGGTTTTGTGTTTGGTGTATATACACTTGGATGTGTGAATATGCATGCGAAGGTCAGGGAAGGATGTTGGTTATTCTGTTTTTCATTCTCCACTTTATTCCTTTGAGACAGAGTCTCCGACTGGACCTGGAGTTGGGTGGTGGCCAGCAAGTCCCAGCCATCCTCGCACATCTGTTGCCCACAACTTGGATTTCATACATGCAGCCACACCTTGCTTTTTGCATAGGTGCTAAGGAATCTGAACTCAGGTCCTCATGCTTGTGCAATAAGTGCTCTAACCCATTGAGCCATCTTATCAACTCAAGGGCTTTTATATTGTTGATTTCTAAGCTAGTGTCTTGCTTTATAGCCAGAACTGGCCTTAAAGCTTGCTATGTAGCACATGCTGAACTTGAACTCTCAATCCTCCTGCTTCTGCCTCCCCAAGTACTGGAATCATAGGCCATGTGCACCAACCACATCTGGCTTCAGAGGGCTTTCTTCCTGCCCCAGATCAACTTTATATTAAAAAAACTAATAAACAAACAAAACACAACATGAAAAACTGAGAGGCTGGGGGGCTTGCACCCAGGCTTGGTGTCGGGATAGACACGATGGACAGGAAAAGTGAGGATGTAGAGCAACATATGGTGTAAAACAGATAAAGGAATGGTGTGATTAAACCCATTATTTTGTATGATAACTTAAAAGTTAATACATGCCGGGCATGGTGGCGCATGCCTTTAATCCCAGCACTTGAGAGGCAGAGGCAGGCGGATCTTTGTGAGTTCAAGGCCAGCCTGGTCTACATAGTGAGTTCCAGGACAGCTGGAGTTACAGGGAGACCCTGTCTCAAAAAGAAAAAGAAAAAAAAAAAAAAAAAGATTGCCTTTAAGGATATAGTTCAGTGACATTATGCACATTCTTATGCAACCATCATCACTATGCGTTTCCAGAACTTAATATTTTATGACACTGAAACTCTATACCCATTAAGCAATAGCCCCCTCTTCTTCCATTGCCCAAGTCCCTGGAACCAGTATTCTACTTCCTGTCTGTGTGTTTGACGATTCTTCATCATGTTAAGTGTCACCACACAGCACTTGTCCTCTGTGACTAGTTCATTTCACTCAAGATAAATGCCCTCAAGGTTCATCCATTTGTAGCATGTGCTACAGTTGCCTTTTTTTAAGACAATAATTGTAGCTGGGCATGGTGGGAGATCCTGTCTCAACAAAAAAGACCAAAGAAAATTAATGATAATAATAAATAAATAAATCTTTTTTTGGTGTCTTTTTGAGACAGGGTCTCCCTGTAGCCCCAGCTGTCCTGGAACTCACTATGTAGACCAGGCTGGCCTAGAACTCACAGATCCCCCTGCTTCTGCCTCTTAGGTACTGGGATTGAAGGGGTGTGCCACTGCACCTGCAACAAAAGATTTATTTTTGACTATGTAAGTGTCTGTGTAGGAATATGCACATGAGATCAGGTGTGCATGGAAACTAGAAGTGATGGATCTTCTTGGAGCTAGAGCTACAGGCAGTTGTGAGCCACCTGAAGTGTGTGCTAGGACTGGAACTTGGGTCCTCAGAGCTTCTGCAAGAGCAGTACACTTAACTGCTGATCCATATCTCTAGCTCACCCCATCTTTACTTTTATAAAGATTTATTTTTAATTATGTGCATGTGCACATGAATGTGGTTGCCCACAGAGGCCTCAGATCCCCTGGAGCTAGAGTTACAGTGGTTGTGAGCGTCTCATGTGGGGTCAGGTCTTCTGGGACAGCAGTATATTCGTTTAACCCGTGAGCCATCTCTCCAGGCCTAATTCTCATCTCTTTACGCCTGTGAAGTTCTTCCTTTGTGTTTTACACTTCTTGATAATCAGCAGTTAAATGCAGAAATTTAATCACATTCTAGTTTGGTACATCTTGAAAAAATGCTTCATGGGTAGTGGTGTGCACTCCACTAGGAGGCACATCTCAGTTTAGTAGCAGCCACTGATTGCTCCTTAAATATATTATTTTATAGGAATGTCAAATTATGACTGGGTAGTTCTGTCATCTCATTTATCTGCTGAGTAAACGAATCTTCTTCCTTGTCCAGGAGTTGGTTTCCTGAATCATATAGGAAAGGCAAGATACATACTTGATTCTGGCCCCCTGTTTACCAGTTTTCAAAGTATTAAATTGGTTCCACGTCTTCCAGTGATTGCCAATAAATTTTTCAAAAACATTTTACTTATGTTTATTTCATGTATATGAGTGTATTGCCTTTACATATGTAAGTGCACCACTGTCATGCAATACCTGCAGAGCTCAGAAGAGGGCACCTGATCCTCTGGAACTGGAGTTACAGATGGTTGTTAGCTGCCATGTGGATGCTGGGACTAGGACCCAGGTTCCCTGCAAGAGCAGCCAATGCTTTTCACTAACCACTGAGCCATCTCTCCAGCCCAGATTACTAGTGAATTTAAAATTCTTTTCTTTGGAAGGCAGAAGCAGGCAGATCTCTGGTCTATGTGGTGAGTTCCAGGCCATCTGGGGTTAAAGGGAGACCCTGTTTCAAAAAGCCCCCCAAAACAAAAAAAAAACCCAAAAATCAAATAACCAAATAAAATTACTTTCTTTCATATGCCTGTAATCCTGATACTTAGGGTAAAGAGGCAGGAAGATCAGGAGTTTGAGGCTAGCCTAGGTTACATGAGACCTTTGTCTCAAACAAAAGAAAACATAATTGTTTTCTTTATTTTTTATGCTTAATTAATATGTGTGTGTGCAGGCATGCATACGCCACAGGACTTGTGTAGCGGTCAGAGAACGCTTTGCAAGAGTGAGTCCTTTTTCTGCCATATGAGTTCCGGGGATCAAACTCAGGTTTTGCTGCAAGTGCCATTTTGCTGGCCTTCCTTTTCATTTTACAATATTTTATTTATTATTTTTATTTTATCTGTGTGTTTTGCCTGTATGTGCACCTGTGTCCTGTTATGTGTAATTTTTCATTTATTTCAGGGTTTTTTGTTTGTTTGTTTTGTCTTTTGAGACAGGATCTGTCTCCCTGTAGTCCCAGCTGACCTGAACTCACTATGTAGACCAGGTTGGCCTTGAACTCACAACCATTCCCCTGCCTCTGCCACCCGAGTGCTGGGATTAAAGACGTGTGCCACCACACCCGGCTTAATTTATTTCAGGTTTTATGAGGTTGGGTTTTTTTTTTTGTCTTTTTTTGAGACAGGGTCTCCCTGTAGCTCCCAGTTGTCCTAGAACTCACTATGTAGACCAGGCTGGCCTTGAACTTAGAGATCCACCTGCTTTCGCCACCGGAGTGCTGGGATTAAAGGCGTGCGCCATCATGCCCAGCTTTTCTGTTTGCTTTGCGCAGTATTTTCTGGTTTCCATGGCCAGGTCTAGAGCTCCTCATTTCCTTCCCCTTCATAGACTTCATGTGTAATGAAATTGTTTTGTCAGCTCCCATGGTGGTTGTTTGTGCTGCCTTGGGTCCTTCCCTTTTACAAACGATGCCTCAAGGATTGGCCTATGCATACTGATTTTTTATAGTTTTGCGAATGTACCTTTGAGTATATCTGCAGAAAAGAGGTGGCTGGCCTAGAGAGCAAATTCATATTGTAATTTCAAGGACACTTCCAAGTTCCCCTCCCTAATCACTTGGTGAATGAAAGTATAGTGTCTGTCTTTAACTTGCATTCCTCTTGTCTGCAAAGTTGACCCTAATTTACTACCATTAAAGCCATTTCCATCTTTTTTTCTGTGTTCTGCTTAATTATACTGCTAGTCATTTTTTCCCCTTTAGGGGTTGGTTTTGTTCCCCTACAATAGTACCTTTAAATTAATTTAACAGCCATTGTAAAACTATTGTACTAAGTGCTGTACTTGGTGCTGAGGAAGCAAAGCTCAGTACTAATCAAAGACCCTTCCTGGCTTGATGATGCATGCCTTTAATCCTAGCACTTGTGAGTTTGAGGCCAGCCTGGTCTACATAGTAAGTTCCAGGCCAGCTGGGGCTACAGGGAGACCCTGTCTTATCTAGAAGACCTTTCCTTACCAGTCTCTATCCTGTGTTAATTTATTTTTATTATTTTTTTATTTTATGTGTATGAGTGTATTGCCTGCATGTATGTGAGTGCACCCCTGTCATGCAATGCCGAGGAGGTCAGAAGATGGCTTTGGATTCCCCTGGAACTGGAGTTAAGGTTCATTTGATGCTGGAAATCGAACCCCGGTCCTCTGCAAGAGCAGTCAGTGCTCTTAACCACTGAGCCACCTCTCCAGCCCCCTCCTGTGTTAAATTTTATCCCAGTATTTTCACTATTTAGGCAGAATTAATTGTGACACCCCAAAACAAGCTACAGAAGTTAGTTCTAAGTGTAAAAGGAGCTGTCCTTTGCTTGGCATGCTGTCACACACCTATAATCACACTCAAGAGAGGCTGAGATGCAAGCAAATTGTGAATGGAAGGTCTGGGCTGCATAGCAACCCTGTCTCAAAACCAGCCAGCCAGCCAGAGAGTACCCTTGTTTGGAATGTGAGTGTTTCACTTGCATTTGGAGACATCAAAGGTGGGCTGTAGAGCAGAGCTTATAGACTGTGGGCTTGGAAGACACATGGTCTGTTGATGGCATGGTTTTTTTTTGTTATTTTTTAAATATTTTATTTATTATTTTTATGTGTATGAGTGTATTGCCTGCATGTATGTGAGTGCACCCGTGTCATGCAGTGCCATGGAGGTCAGAAGAGGGCTTCGGATTCCCCTGGAACTGGAGTTGAGGACGGTTTGTAGCTACCATGTGGGTGCTGGGAATCAAACCCCCGTCCTCTGCAAGAGCAGTTAGTGCTCTTAACCACTGAGCCGTCTCTCCAGCCCCAATGGCATGTTTGTCACACAGCTGTTTTAAAATCTGCATATCTAGTATTCAAATTTGAATACATGGGGGGGGGTTGGATTTTTGTTGTTGTTGTTCTTTTTGTGACAGGGTCTCCCTGTAGCAGAAGCTGGCCTGGAACTCTCTATGTAGACCAGGCTGACCTTGAATTCACAGAGATCCACCTGCCTCTGCCTCTGCCTTGCCTCTGCCTTCTGAGTGCTGGGATTAAAGGTGTGCACCACCATGCTTGGCTTGAAAATACGAGGTTTTGCTTAAAGATTTCTGCATCTTTTTTAATGGGGGCATGAGACATGGACAGAAGATGGTGTGAACATTGAGTTCTATTCCACATGATAGCATTCCCTGGATGGGGCAGCACTGTCCTGTCTTTGTCTCACATTGGTTCACTTCCCTCCTTGGAACATATTACCTCTAGGTCTAGTACAGGAACCACTGTATGCTTGTGGCTCAGAAGCTCTTGCACCCTGCTAGTCCAGATTGAGATGTGCTGTTTTGTTTCGATGTGCAGCTAGGCTGCTGGAACTCACGTGTGTGCTGCTTGTTTCATCCAGTGCTTGCTTATACTCGTGTCTGTTTCATTCTCTTAGACCGACCTGGGTTCTGTGTGAACTGGAGCCTTTTAACTTCAGCAGAATTTGAAATATCAAACCAATAGGCCATGTTCATCTTTGCTGAGATAAGAGTGTTGAGTATCTTGCAGATATCTGACACTTCTGGGCCTCCAATGGCCACAGCAGCCATAGTACCTGCTTACCCTTGCTTGCCTCAGCAGAGGGAGGGTAAGGAAATGCTGGAGTATTTTAATTGATGATTTAGAACCATGGTTGTTAATTTTTTTTTTTAATGCTCTTATGTATGATGAGTTGTTCCTATATGTACCATTCGGTTTACTCTAGTGGTTCACAACAAAGTATGAACCATGCCTTTTATTCCAGAGAATTCTTTTCTGTCCTTTGATAAGCAGTTCTCCTCCCTTAACCACTGCTGTTTCTACCACATAAGTCAAGTCAAATGTTTTTAGTGTTAACTTTAGCAGTTCAGTTTTTGAAATGTTAACCATGATTAATAGTTTTAGTGACTCCTTTGAGAGTAACATTAACGTAATAGCTCACTTAGTTTCTTTGCCAGTATCCTTAGGTGAGTTTTGTAGCTTGCATGGTCTCCCTTGTAAAACCTGTGTTGCAAATGGACGTCTTACTCTTATCCAGAAGCAGTTTATTATCCTATGATATTTTTTGACTTTGCTTATTTTACCTGGGTGTCCAGTTGCTTCCCTCTTTGGATAATGTTGGTATAGGTTGGCTTTGACGCTGTTTGCTGCTCTTTAAGGAGGAATTCAGCAGCCTTTTGTGACATCTGTGGTGAAATGATCCCAACATGGGATGTAGGCCAGTTTCATGACTCGTGATAATGTTCTTTCCTTCCTGCTGCCTAAGGAAAGAGGCATAGTGGGCCATTGTGTCGTCCTGACTCCAGCCTGCTGTGACAGCTCTATTCAGCACTTACCTTGATGATGATTTCTTTATCCCTGTTTTACAGGCCAAACTTCCAGATTTGCAACCATTTCCTTCTCCAGATGGTGATACTGTGACCCAGCATGAGGAACTGGTATGGATGCCTGGAGTCAGTGACTGTGACCTCCTCATGTACTTGAGGGCAGCAAGGTAATGGGAATCTTCCCATCTTGCTTTCTGAATTGGGCTATCTGGGTTGAAGCTTCTCCTTTCCTCTTTTTATTTGTAAATGAGGCATTCTTTTCACTTTAAGTTTTGCTGTATGTTCAATTAATCCTTCTTACCTGAGAAAAATAGCTTGCAGTTGTTTTCTTTCTTGATATTTGCCTCACATCAGACTTCAGAGCTCTTCAGAAGACACATCTTCAGCCATATGTAGTTCCTAGTACCTCTCTCGCTGCAATTGTGTGAGTCAGTCACCCCACCTTACAGTTCTATTACTGAGCTCATGTTCTCTCTGCAGTGGCTGTTCATTAATGTCTGACCCAAACTTGACATTTCTGTGGCTTCCCTACATGAGAACATTTATCTGTGATTATCTTGAGGACCTTGGGAACATGCAGATGCCATAGATACAAGAAGGAACATGCCATAAAGCAGGCAGAGCCTTCCTTTGACTGCAGTGATTGGTTTGAGCCTCACTACAGCATCACCTCTGTGCAGTAGAAAATGCTTGAGAGCACAGGTTGGGGCACCAGAGTTCCAGCTTGGTAATCATGGTTAGCAGTGCTGTGCACAGTGGGGATGAAAGCATATAAATGGGGTCACCAACAGTGAGTTATCCTTCTCTTACTTTCCACTTTGTTCTGGTGGTGGCTTTTTGTTTGTTTTGAGATGAGATGGACTCACTATGTAACTCTGGCTGGCCTGGAACTTAACAGAGATCCCAAGAGCCTCTGCCTCCTGGGTGCTGGGATTAAAGGTGTGTCCTACCCATGCCTGGCTTCACTTCTCACTTTTAATTCACCTAAAGGTACTTGATATGTAGGTGAAAGAAATTAATTTTACATATTTTCTAGGAATTTTCAAAAAATTGACACATAGTAATAGTAGATATGGAGACTTTGAAAAGGTCATTATCTATTGGAGTATCTAGGCAAATAGATTTAGATCACTCATGTGCTCAAATCTAAAATCTTAGCACCCCACAAGCAGGGGAGGAAGTAACAGATGGGGCCAATAGAAAGTTGTTTCTGAGGGTGTGAAGGGCTGTAAGCAGGACTGGGAACTCTGACTTACTGTGTTTAGGAATGGAATTGGGGCTGAAAAATGTGCTTTGAAACCTGAGGGTTAAGACCACTGTGCTGGGTGGCTGTGTGCTGATGAAGGAAACTGTTCTTTTTCCCAAAGGAGTATGGCAGCATTTGCAGGGATGTGTGATGGAGGCTCAACAGAGGATGGCTGTGTTGCAGCATCTCGGGACGACACCACTCTTAATGCACTGAACACAGTAAGTCCCTGGACTTGGGCTATAGAGACTATGAGATGAGTAGGTCCTACATTAAGTCCCTCCTTGGGGTATATGACTATGAGATGAACATGGAGCAAGGTGTGTAAGGTGGGCATGGAACAGGATGTAGTGAGCACTATGGTGTTGGTGGGATCTAAAAAAGAATTGTAGGGCTGAAGAGACTGTCCAGTGTTAGGAGAGCTTGCTGCTCTTGCAGAGGACCCGAGTGCTATTCCCAGACCCCACATCAGGCACCTCACAACAGCCTGTAACTCCAGGTCCAGGGGAACCCACATTCTGCTGGTATCTACAGGTACCCACACATGGTATACACTCTCTCACACACACATATATAAAGAAACAAGTTTTGTAAAAGACTGGTGGTCTTGGCCATTGGAGTCTGTGACTGTAGGCTAGTGATATTGTGCCTCCAGGTCTGTTTCCTAATCTTTTCAAACCTCAGGATTGTGGGACGCCTTACTAGCAGCAGTCTACACTGAGATCTCATTCAGCTAGGTACTGTGCATAGATGATCATATATAACCCTCGTAGTACATCATAAGGGAG